TCCCTAGTCACCTGAGACTATAAATCCATTGCATTCCACAAGAGGGCCACCTGATGCCTGTGGGCAGGTGCCCCACCTGCCAGCATTCTTCACGTCTTGTCAACCCACCCGAATCACAGTCTACAGCGAGATCCCTGGCAAGGGACAGTTGACTGCCACAGACAATGCTCTGGGAAGGCAGCATCACCGCCAGGTCCCCTGCGGGAATGTCTGCCCTAACTCCGACCCCCAGAGAACATCAGACCGTCCCCAACTGGCGTTCTTCAGATAGTAGCTGGCTTGTTCTTCAGAAATGTCAAGGTCATGAAAGACAAGGGAACACAGAGGAGCTGTGTCAGCTCACAGGAGGTTTGAGGGACCCAAGTGACGTCAGTGGCAGACCCTGGGTCCTGGCAGGACCCTATGGACACTACACATGAGACCTGAATGGGGTCTGTGAGCTGGCTGCCGGTTCTGGAAGGATGTCGGTGCTGTGATCGTGTGGGAGAATGCCCTTGCTTCTAGGAAGTACATGCTACGCTTGTGCTCAGACAACTCTGAGAGAACATTTAACATACACATCTATACACACAGATTCCTACGTGCTCATGACAGTGTTCTGAAATGTTAATAACTCCGTGAGCCTGAAATTTCCGTGCGTAGGTGTGTGCATTTGCAGTCTTCACGTGTCTTCCTCAGTCCCTCTCTCTGCATTTTTAAAACTTTTAAGATATTTTACGTGGATGAGTGTTTTCATTCATGGTCACCACATTCTGCCTGGGGCCCGTGGAGGCCAGATTAGGGTGTCAGGTCCCCTGGGACAGTAATTACACAGTTGTGAACCCTCATGTGGGTGCAAGCCACTGAACCCAAGGCCTTAGAAACCTGAAGGGACAGGTCTCTGGGGGTGTTTCTGGGCCGTGCCAGCTTAGAGATGGAAACACTGGCTTTTTGTCCGCTACCTACAAACGCCTTCCATGTGACACTGGGAGTCCCAGCCTCCCACAGTCTCTCTTGAATTTCCCAATCTGACTGTGGACACTGTAGGTATGAGAGACCCTCATAACTGCCCTCTGCTCTCTTCCTGAGTTCCTGTGGGGACTCCTGGAAGCCATGCAGCCTCTCCTTCTCTCAGGAGCCCTTTGCCACCTCTCAGCTGAGGAGAACTGAGTGAGTCGCTTTACTTCTCTGAGCCTCAATTTTCTCATCTGCAAAGCAACCCCCCTGTAAGCTCTGGAAGTTAGAGGAAGGTGAAAAGTGTCAGTCAGGACCTTGGAGGGATTTTGTTTATTTTGTTTTTGGAATAGATTCAGCCCTTCCAAGATGGTGACTGTTCTTATGGTTAAGGCCTTGGAACCCAAGGGGGAACGGAGACATCCAGGCATACTGAGCCAGGGGAGGCAAGTTCATGAGCAGGCTCTGTCCTCTCCCTCCCTCCTTTCCTTCTGTGCCCTCCCTGTCCCTGGTTTTAGCTCCCTGCACCACTAAGGGCAGAGTGAGGTCTGCAGCCGAGCTTGGCAGGAAAAGCCAGCTTCAGGACAAACCCTTCTCTTCCTCAGTGGAGCACATGCAAATTTCCCAACAGGCTGTGTGACAGCTCCCCTGTCAAGTGAGGGGCCCTTGGACAACTAACTGCTGGCTATTCTCTTCCTGGTGTTGCTCCCTGGCTTGGTTGAAGCAGGGCCTGCCAGGAGAGCCAGAATTCCAGCATGGGACAGCTAGGCCTTGAGAGTAGCAAGAGGGAGACCCGCTGTCTGCCCTCTCAGGGGAGTTACTTGGCGCCTTTTCATTCTCACCACCTATGGCTCCTATGGCTCTTCGGGGGACAGCTTCTGCTACTGCCTCTGAAGCCACCTCCTTTCCCAGCCCTAAGGCCCACCTGGCTCCTCTCACCCTCTGGAAGTCAGAGAGTGGCTGGGAGAGAGTAGCTGTCTCCCAATACACCCTCCATGTATGCCTCACAGGCTACACAATTCCTGCCCTGGGTTTCTCTTTTGCTTCCCTCCTGAGCACTATGGACTAGATCTGCTAGGCCAAGCCAGCATGGCAGCAGTCATGATGGTGTTGATGATGAGGAGGAGGATGGTGATGAGGATGGTGGTGGTGATGATGATGAAAATGGTGATGATGAGGGTGGTGGTTTTGATGATGGTGGTGATGATGGTTATAGTGATGATGATGATGGTAATGGTGATGAGGATGGTTGTGGTGATGATGATGGTGATGAGGAGGAGGATGGTGGTGGTGATGATGATGATAATGATAGTGGTGATGGTGATGATGGCAATGGGAGGTATCTGTTTGTCCTAATCAATTTTTTTTTTTTACCAACCAGATACTAGAGTTATCTGGGAAGAGGAACTTCAGTTGAGAAAATGCCTCCACCAGATTGCCTATAGGCAAGTTTCAACAGGCATGGCCTCTGCTTCAGTTCCTACCTTGAGCTCCTGGCCTGACTCCCCTTCACGATGAACTTCAACTGTAAGTTGAAACAAACCCTCTCCTCCTCAAGTTGCTTTTGGTCATGGTGTTTATTACAGTAACAGAAAGCAAACTAAGACACTGACCTACCTCTGCCTCCTGGTGGCTAGTGTCTTCCAGTACCAAGTAACTCAGAGGGCCCCTGGGAATCTTGGAGAGGCTGGGCAGCATAACAAAGTAAGGGAGGCCCCTCTCCAATCACTGTCAGAGTAAAAAGCGTCTGATGACCCTTGGGTCCTGGTCCATTAGCCCAGGTCTGCCCTGTACCCTCACACCCTCTGTGTACACCTCCACACCTGCATCTCCAAGCCAAGAACAGGGGGTTATCACAGCATGTCCTGGAAGCCAGGTACCCAGCGGAGGAGGAGAGTCCCAGGTGGGGAAGGTGGTAGAAAAGACATGAGCATGCGTGCTGAGGCAGGGGGAGAGGCCTGTCGGGTCTCACAGGCCACAAGATGGCCTCACAGGAAAGCTGAGTGTTTAGGGCTAATGAGAGGCATGATGCCTAAGGATGGAGTAAGGAAACAAAGGAGAAAAGATGAGATTCAGCAAAATAAAGTCACTAACAAACAAGCAGTTCGTCCAGAACTTGGGACCATGAGGGTCCACCCCATTCTCAACTGTTGCTGCTGGGGTCTGCTGACCACGAGAGTGACTGAGAGAAGGCCACAAGAGCCATGGAGTCCTCTGTCTGCACTCACTCACGACAAACCCAGAAGCCAGAGGTCCCACAGCTCTGCAGTAGGGCCTAGTGCGCTGTCATAGAGAGAGTCTGGGCCTCCCAGCCAGCTCAAGGCTGAACCATGGCTAAGCTGGCATCTGTGTGTGCAAATACACTCCTACCTGACGGCTCACGCTATCGTCAGTGCACCCCCAGGACAGGACAGGCACTGTCTCTCATTCATAAATGAGGAAACACAACTTCAGACGAGGCCTGACGCTTAGCCAGACTCTCGCAGGAGTGGAAACGACAGGGCGGGACCAGGGACCCAGGTCTGTATGGCTCTCACCCACCCTAGTCTACCTTTCAACAGAGTAAGGACCAGGAGCAGAAGAGTGCACAGAATGGGCCTCGGGACCAGCCCACTCTTGACAGTCCCCATGAAGTCCTGCTGTGATTACAGGTTTCTGTTCATCACTGAAGCCATGTTGAGTCAGGATGGCAGAATAGGCTGTGGGGTGGTGGTGAAGCAAGGATACATTCTGAGGAGAATAGAAGTCCAGGCCAGAGAGGGCTCCGTGGTTGAAAGAATGTATTCCAACTCAGGAAGAGGACCTGGAGTCAGCAGCTCCCACTTCAGACATCTTACAACTGTCTGTAATTCCAGCTCAGAGGGATCTGATGCCCTGAAGTCACCTGCACTAATGTGTGCGCGTGCACAGACACATAAGCACACAGGCTATACATAATTATAAAAAAAAAAACTTAAGAAAAACAGAAGTCTATAGGAATAAAAGAAATGATGCCAGGGTATATGTGTCAAGATTTCATAAGCCTGGGGCATCTGTGTGATTCGTGCTTTGCTTTACAGTTTTCTCTTGTTAAAGATGCATTAAGTTTCACTTTGCATGGGTGCTTTGCCTGAGTGTATGTCTGCATGTGAAAGTGTCCAAGATTATTTTCTAAAATGGCATTTTTATGACAGAACATAGATCCGGCTGTTTGTGGGTAAAGAAGGAAGGTTCTGGGGGGAAAACCTGGTGATAAGCCTTCCTGGAAACTCCCCCTCACCTTCCTGCTGAAAGACAGCGACCATTACCTGACTTGGTGTGGTCACACAGGGGGAGCAGCCAGCCCTTGAGCTGTGGCGAGGATCCCTGGGAAATATCTGACAGGCCCTGTGCATTCAGCTCTGTGTTCCTTCCTATGCATGGCGGGAGACTCCAGCTGGGACAGACTGCAGGAGCAGGGACCGCTTAGAACCAGGTGATGAGAAAAAAAGGAAATCTCAGGAAGACTCAGGCTTCTTAGATTTCCATAAAATGCACTGGGTGAGAACCCTTAAGCCTCCAAAGCCCAGCCCCCTATGGTGACCGAGGAGACTAGGGTAGCCTGACAGGGTCATGCCCATAGGAGCCCTGATGATGCTGCAGCCCCAGGGCAGGGCCTGTATAACTGTCCTGTCCTGTGAGCAAAGATGAAAGGGGTTGAGTGGTCCCCATCTCGTCCCTCCAGCCAGGCACCCCTAGTTCCGATGGTGTTAGAAGTATCTTGGCCCTCAGAGTAGCCTACTGTCCCTACTGTCCCCGCAGGAAGCCTCAAGTCCTCTTCCCGTCAGAGGTCAGAGAGAGGATGAAATGTACGAAAACAGATACGCGGCTGAGAAAACTGTGGGCTGAGGAAATGCTGGAATATTGAGTGCTGGGTGAGAACACCCGCTGCTTATTATTCAGAAAAAGGGAACTTCACAGAGCTACCCAGTGTGATCCCATTTCTGATAGAAAAACAAACAGGCAGGACCAATTACACACACTTGCCAGGAAAAAAAAATAGGGCAGGAGAAAATTAAAATATGTTTGGTCTTGTTTCTTGGAGAAGAGTCCAGACTTATTCTCATGTTTATTTCTGAAGCTCTGGCTGATGCTGCCATCTGGATTCTCTTTCCCTCAAGGCACATCGCCTGCGTTCCCGGCTGTAAGGCCATCTGGCCTCAGTCCTCAGTCCTCACGGTAGGCTAGGGGCATGGGTGAAGAAAAGTCTTCCCTGCGCTGTAGAGGAGACCGAGGCTCAGCTTAGAGAGTAGCAGAGAAATCAAGGACAAGACTCCAGAATTAGAGCAGTTAGAGATCCCCTAAAGCCTCCCAGGGTGGGGGATGGGGGTGGGGTGGGGAAATAAAGCTCCCAAGGTCCTGTTTTCTTCAACATCTTACTAAGGAAACTATCAAAGGAATAGAAAACGGATAAAGCGACTCTCAGTGTGGTCTCCACCCCACTTCGAAGAAAGCCTTAAATGAGGTGGGAAGGGGGACTCAGGGTAGGAATGGGGGGGATCAGCCCCAGAGCCACAGGCCTCAACAGGCTCGCGCGCGTGCATGCATGTGCGCGCGCACGTGCGCAGCACATGCGCACATGCCCATGCTCGCACAGACCTCTAGGCTCCACCGGGACAGTCCCTGGACTGGTCCCCAACGTTGATGGGGAACCGCAGCTGCCCTCCCCCTCCCGCCCCCACGGGTGCCTTCCTCCTTCCTCTTTCTACTACTGCCCTGCCCTTCCCCAGGCGGATTCTTTATAGGTCTCAGATTCCCTTCCGAGGCCTTGAGGTTTGGGCTGCCCTGGAGGACATGGCCTGGGCCCCTGACAACGTGCGGAAATGGTCAACCCTGGCGCTGCTGGCCCTCATGGGCACAGCCCTGACAGCGGCCATCAACCCTGGCTTCTCGGCCATAATCTCCCAGAAGGGTCTGGACTTCGGTAATTGCCTTTCTCCCTTCCTTCCTCATCCTGGGGCGCAGGGGGAGCTCTTGTTGATCACTTAGGGTGCACAGCCCTTTAAATCTGGCGGCTGGCAAGCTCATAGCTCTGCTAAGGAGACCTTTTCCCCTTCTTTTATGTTGGAAGAAACTAAGGCACAAACTCATAGGGCTGGGTAGAGGTAAATCTGGGACTTGACCACTATTCTTAAAGATTCCAAATGTCCCCGGGCCCTAAATGTCCTTATGGTTCCCCTCTTTCTACACTGTCGCCCGGCACAAATTTCTAGGCCTTTCTTTCCAAAGCCTGACGTCTGCCTTGCCTCGTTTGCTAGAGTCTGAGCAGGTTGGGAGAGGGGATCTCACCAGTGAGATGTTTAAACTCCGCTGGCAGACCCAGAGAAAGCTACCCCAGACTACTCCCCCAAGTTCAGGCAGCTAACGACTCCGCTCACCTGCTTCGCTGCCAGGCACCTCACTGACCCACCGGGTCCCGTTTCTTCCACCAAAGGACTGGGTGGAACACACTACCTCAGGTCCACTCCAGCAGGTGAGCACACCGGAGTCGCCCCGAGGCTCTGGGAAGTGCAACTCGGTTTTGAGCTCAGGTCATCGCTGAGGCACTCCACAGAGCTTCTTGGTGCTGCCCCCTGGTGATAGAGAGAGGAATTGCAGCACTCTGGGTGATCCCAGCTCAAACCAGACCAGACAGGTCCACAAAACCAGGCCCTAGGGGGATCTGCTTTTCTACTCCAGGACTCAAGTTCTAACCTGGGCAGGACTTTTCAGAATCTCAGGGATGCGGAAAGATTCCCCCATTGAGCTTTGAGGGTTGTGTTTAAACACAGAACGTGTGTGTGTGTGTGTGTGTACAAGTCCTCACAAGAGTGCATGTTTGACAGCTTCGGGGACTCAGAGGCGCAGTCAGAACTCCTCATGCTGCCACAGCTGCCTCGCTTTTCTCTTCTGCTGGTGTCCCATGTGGCAACTGGAGTGGGGTTTTAAAAGTGCAACAAGCCTATTCATGGGTGTACCCCATACCCAAAGGCTAGCCCTGGGGCCTGAGCTCAGGGAACAAGAGGCCTGCATTCCCATCCTGCCTCTGTCTCCCACAGGTCAGCTGTGGGCTCTTGAACAAAGCACTGGCCTCCCCCAGCCTGTTTCCTCTGTGGGAGATGGGAGGGGTGAAAGGGTTCCTCGGATTGCTCTGCCTTGCTGCAAGCAGGGCCTGGTGGACAGGAAGACCCCGGGCATGCGTTTTATTGTTGCTCTCCTTCCCACTTGGTTCTTGGGAAACCAGAAGCCTGTTCAGCTCACCTCTCTGCCTCCCTCCTCTCCCCTCAGGCGACATGTTTGCCTGGTTAATTGGATCCTCGATGCTGTTAGCCACTTCCTCACTGGTGGCAGAATTCCTGCCTTTGGGGCATTCATTTATTTACCCAACAAACAGTAAGTGCCAGGCACCCCGGTAAATACCAGAGATGCATTAATGCATAACAACCCACATTGCCGCCAACTTCTGGGGACTTTTATTTAGCCAAGGAGAGTGACATCAATCAGAGTCATTGTGAATAGATGCCTAATTACAAAGAAAAATGGCTGCTTCTAAGGAGACACTCAAGACTGTGAGGATAGTAATATCTGTGTCAGGAAGCTTCCCTAAGGAAGTTAGAGGTAGAACAGGGAACTCCACATGAAAGGTCCTGTAGAAAGCCTGGAGGCTGTAGAGGTGGGTGTCCGTGGGAAGACGGCCCAGAGCAAGGTGTGGAGAAAGATGCTTGGCTGGATGTTTGGGGCTGTTATATCAGACCAGGGTTCACAGTCTATAGCCCACAAGCTCAGTGTGGCTTGCTGTGTATTTCTGTATGAGCTATGATCTAGTAAGAAGGGGTGTTTGTTTTGTGGGTGAATGTGTACATGATCATGGGGTGAACACACGGGTATGGGTACATCTGGGAGCCAGGGGAAACCTCAGGTGTTGTCCCTCGGCACCATGCACTGTTGGGGGGGGGAGATTATTCATGTTTATGTATATGTGTGGACACACATGGTTGTGTGTGAGCGAGGGTCGTGTGGATGCCAGAAGTTGACACTGGGTGTCTTTCTTGTGCGCACTCCATTTTACATTTTGAGGCAAATTTTCAGTCCGGAGCTCACTGGTACAGCTGTTCTAGGCAGCCGGCTTGCTCTGGGACCCCTGTCCCCCTTCATGAGCCCTGGTATTACAGACAAGTCACCACACTGTTCAGCATTTATATGGGGCCTGGGGATCTGGGATCTGGGCTCTGGTCCTTATACTGGGTGGCCATCACTTTAACTACTGAGCCACGCCCCCCCAGGCAGTTGCTTTGTTTATTAGAAATAGGGTCTTGTTATATGACCTTAAATACAAGCTCTCGGGCCTCAACATCCCCGGGGCTGGCATTACAGGTGCACCCACACACCCCTTAAAGACTGTCTTTGGAGCTCAAATGGTTGGAAGAATTTCAAAAGAAGAATGGCCCATTGCATGTGTATGACTTATCCCAGGGCTCGCTGTGCAGTGTTGGGACACGGCCACCTTTCTGTCTTTGCTTCATTGATATCGAAGTGGCACACAGTACAGGAGGAGTGGGTGAGCCAAAGGCTCAAATCCTGGCTGCCTGAAGACAGAGCCCTGCTCAGCCCTGCCCTTCCTGCTTGTCGCTGTCGCTGTCGCTGTCATCACTGAGGCCAGGCCCAGGGGTCTGGAACTGCTGGGATCCTCCAGCCCTGCTCCTAAGCTGAGCTTGTCTCTGCTCTGCCCTCTAGCATGCCAGGAGGGTGTGACCGAGCTGAAGAAGGAGCTAGAAAACATCAAAGTTCCCAACTTCTCTGGAATCTTCAAGACGAAGCATCTAGGGAAAGGTTCCTATGAGTTCTACAGGTGAGGCTAGCTGAGGCTTAGGCCTCCCAACACGTGGCGGGGACCCGAGTCCTGTGGCCAAGTTCTTAGCTCATGGACTTCAACCCTCCCAACCCAGAATGCACACCAGCCCAAGGTTTACCGCGCCTCAAGCTGAGCCTGGAGGTTGTCTTTCCAGCACCCTCCACCACTCCACAGTAGACAGCATGAACCCCAAACCTGTGCTACACGCGTGGATTCCAGGGACAGGAGAACGGCCGGTGCCTGAGGCACAGCCTCACGTGACTGGGTAGTCTAGCTGCAGCTCCTGCTTGAGCCAGCCTCTCGAGTCACTGGACATCAGTCTTTCTTACCACCTCAGCGTCAGGTCCTTTCAGTCCCCCAGAGATAGGACCGTCACCAGGTAGTTCTAAGAGTGCAGCCCCTAAGCTCTCTGTCCAGGAAGAAGCCTTCTCCTACAACACCAGACAAAGCTCTGAGGTACACTCTGATAGGCCAGTTTAAATAATGTATATGCCCCTAAACCAATGTTTACCCTAAACTGTGCCAGAGGAGTAAAAAAAAAAAAAACAACTAACCAACCGTCTAAGCTTAAGTCGTCCCCCACCCCCTGAGAAAGACAGGTGGGTTCCTAGCACGGAACAGGTGAGATGGGCTCCCTAAATACACTTGTGTGTCTGCTATACCAAGAAAGGTTGTGTGGCTGCTGGACAGAAAACCCCCAGTGTTTCCTACAGAATTTCATACCAGGTCCATTCAGCAGACATCTGAAACACCTACTGTGTGTCTCTGGCAGACATAGGGCACACCTACCATGTGTCACGACAGCATATCTCACGTTTCCAACAGTGAGAACGGGTGGACACTTAACACCCTATACAGAGCCCATGGTCAAGGCTCAGCATCGGCCATCTTTGTTGACAGTCTCTCAGCCTGTCTGCGCTGTGAACCCAAGCAGCCTACACACCTAGGGTGGTGCGTAGGTGAAGGGCCTCACGACGCCCTCCTGGCCCAGGATGATGACTGGGTGCTTTTTCCTCCGCAGTATGACAGTGGACGGATTTCACATCCCTAATTCCCGGATCCGTCTGCTGCTCACGGACAGGCTCCAGTTGTCCATCAAGGACGCCAGCATCAAGATCAGAGGGAGATGGAAATCAAAGAAGAACTTCCTGTGAGTCTCAGGCGCTAGGGTTGCTGGGTGGGCTGGTGACACTTTGAGACTTCTGAGCCATGGTGTTGGGCATTGTCCACTTCTGCCTTGTCTAGAGACATAGACATGTGTCGCCACCGGGTGGGAGGGTCACTTAAAAACATGAATAGCTGAGTCAGTCGGGTCACACCCTAGTGCAGGACGTGGCAAGGTAGGACGGGTGAAGAGTCGGCGAGCGTGGCTCAGGAGGGAAAGCTAAGCAGGACTTTTGGTCTCTTCCTGTGTTCATCAGCTACTGCTGCTGTGTAACAAACATCCCAGTCTCGGTGACTTGAAACAGTAACCGTGCTGCGTTGTCTCTATCTTGTGTATCCACAAGGCCCAGCTGAGAGGCATGGCTTCTTCTCTGAAGTCCCGTGTGTCACCCAGAGCACATTCTTAGAGACAGAAAAAAGTGCAAAAGGCAGAGTTGGTCAAGCACACTGTGTTCCCTGTCTTAAATAAATTCACTTCGTGCCTACAGGGGAAGTGATTAATTAAGTTCCTTAATCAATTACTGGGTCAGTAACTGCTTAAAGTCGTGACGAAACCCTCAAATCTTGAGTGATGAAACTGAGATGTACATGCGCATGTTTAGCTGCTAGTGAAGAAACAGAAGCTCAGAAAGGTTAAGAAACCTTCACAAAGCTACACAGCAAGGGCTCTGGTGGGATGGGGCGTGGGGTGGGAGAAGAATGCCAAGTGAAAATCTGGTTGGGATATCTGGTTAGAACCCCGACGACATTCAGTGTTGTGAGGTTTGCACAGTTGCTTCTTGTCTCTGACACACCCCTATCCCTGGGGTGGTGCTGACAGGGAACTTGAGGTCCCCCGCTGATGCTGACAGGAGAGGTCTGAGGAGGAAAGGGTTTGCTCCAGGTCACTTCTCTCTGTCTCCCCATCAGCAAAGCCAGAGGCAAGTTTGATCTGAGCCTCCAAGGCGTCTTCATCTCCGCTGACCTGCAGCTAGGCAGGAGCCCCCCAGGCCGCCTCAGCGTGGAATGTTCTGCCTGCAGCAGTCACATTGACAGGGTTCATATCCAGATCTCGGGCAGCATGCTGGGGTAGGTCTCCTGGGGCTGCAGTCCCCCAAACTCCCTTCCGCAGAAAGTATATCTGTAGACTCACCTCTGTACAGACCTTTTCAGAGCCTTGGGTGTGAGCGGGGCAGGACGTGTGTGTGTGTGTGTGTGTGTGTGTGTGTGTGTGTGTGTGTGTGTGTGTAGAGACACTGCCTTAAGGCCCCGCTCAGTACTGACAGACTTCCACCTTCGGACCTCCAATCACCTGTGTGCTGGCCCTGCACCAGAAGCCTGCACAGAAGATGGCAAGCATTAACCAAACCTCACAACTAACTTCATCAACCAGAGCCTCTCCGGGCAGCCAGCACAGCTCAGCATAGTCACACTCTGAAGCAGTCTGCCCAGGGACCACCACGGAGTAGTCAAGGCAGGCTGTCTGACCCTAGGCCCTTAGGCAACCCAGCCTGTTCTCTTAAAACTCCAGGTCTGGGGTGGTTGCGGGGCCGGGGGACCTTAGCAAGGTTATTACATCAGTGAAGGGCTCACTTAGGGCGGTAAGAACCTAGACTTAAGAAAGGTACAAAGTGCCCCAGACACTTAGAACTGGAGGACCTGGCCCAGTCTGGGGGCAGGAGAAAATGACGTTTGAACCAAGATGAAAAGGGTGAGTAGGTAGAAGTTGGCGATGGGGTGTTTGGGACGGGGNGGGGGGGGGGGGGGGGGGGGGGGGGGGGGGGGGGGGGGGGGGGAATACGCACATGTGCAAACGGTGGCGTGGCGAGAGGAAGCCAATGTGGCTGGTTTACAGAGAGGGAGGGCCGTGGGGGTGGGTATGGGGTGGGGCAGGTGTCTGTAGCTATTAAGAAAATAGTCCCGTCAACGGATTGCTGCCAGTGGGGAGAACTGTCTAATGACAGCTGCATGATCCGGGACTAGTTGCCGGGGTTCCCAGGCACACCTGAAAACCCATTATATGTCCCCACACGTCCCCGCCAGGTGGCTGATTCAGCTGTTCCACAAGAAAATCGAGACTTCCCTGAGAAACAGCATCAATGAAAAGGTAGGTGGGCGTCAGTGGTGGCAGAGCCAAGGCCTCAGAGCGACATCTTAATCATGCTGGGCACCTTGGCCTTCATCTCAATCCCTCAGCATCCACAGAGCCTTTAAATCCACAGAGCCCAGCCGTGTGCTTTACAGACAGTCCCACAAACTGAGCAGGGAAGGGCAGGGCCCCCTGCTCAGCAAGCCTTCCTGTAACTGCCAAGAGGCTTCTGCTTACCTCCCGCTAGCTCCTCTCAGCAGCCTCTGCTGTCTCCCCCTAGCTGCCATCCCCTCCCCTGCTCACCCCTGCTGTGCCCTGCCCTAGAATACACACCGCCAAGGAAGCTGCTGCCACTAGGAGGGACCCCTGTGGCGTACGGAGCAGGGTGACGGCAAGGTATCCCCCATGCTGAGGACAGACACAGCTTAGCACTTTTGCAAGAACCCTCTGTACGTGCTCCGGGGTCCCTGAAGGTCATCACCAGCAGGGCATCCTTCTCAGCAGCAGCCCTGGCTTGAGGAAGTGAGGTGGCAGGTGGCACAAGGCTACAAGTGGGCCTGAGCAGGCTGGAGTGTGCTGGGGAGTCGGCCAAGAGGGGAGCCGAGGCCATGGGAGCCGCAGAGACTCCACGAGACTGGCTGATTTGGAGCTCCACGAGACTGGCTGATTTGGAGCCCCCATTGGCCTGTTGCGTGAGCGATGGGGCAGTGGAGCAGGCGGTATCTGAGAAGCAGCCAGTGTTCAGCCGTCCCCTACCCCTCCCAGTCTGGGCCAGTGAGAGAGGTGACACAGGAGCCACAGAGGATGGTCCAGTTCCCATTGGGACGTCAGAGCCTCCTGTGACAGAAACACACTCCACGGGCAGCTTCTCCGCCCTTCCCTTTTCCCTTCTTCCTTCCCAAATCTTCCATCCCTCCTTACCTCCCCCATCCACTGCGAAGACCTAGGAGGTCTTGCAAACCAAGGCCCAGCAAATAAGTGGACACTTTATTCCTTAATCCATTCAGCCAATCTGTATCTTTTTTTTTTTCTAGGTTGTTTTATTGTTTTTCTATGTAGCCCTGTCTATCCTGGAACTCACTCTGTAGTTCTGCCTCTGTAGTTCACTCTGTAGGAACTGCCTCTGCCTCCTCAGTGCTAAGATTACAGTCCGCATCTTTGGCAAGTTAAGGCCATTTACATTAGCGGAATGTGTGTGTGTGTGTACATACTGGGGATGTGTACACTTATGAGTGTGAATGTAGACACACTTGTGCCACTCTGTCCGTGTGAAGGTCAGAGGACAACTCAGGTACCCATCCTCACTTTCCACCTTGTTTGAGACATGAAAGTCTCTTGGTCACTTTTCTGCAGCCTACACCAGGGAAAGTGACCCTCAGGCTTCTGGGCACTTTTCTGTCGCCACCTTCCATCTCTCCATAGGGAGCACCAGGGTTCCAGGTGCTTGTGCTACCTGCCCAGCTTCCACATAGGTTCTGGGGATTCGAACTCAGGCCCCTCACTCTTGCGTGGCAAGCATTTTTACCACCGAACGGCACATTCAGGGTTGTCACTGAGGGGTGCACACTAACTTCTTTCTCCTGAAGGCTTTCTAGTTTACTGTGAGAATGTGAGAGATGTATCCTTGCCCGAGCTCTCAGGCTGGTGTGTGTCTCCACTGTGTCATGAACCCCCCCTCCCCCCAGTTCCTCTAAGTATCGCCTGCAGCACTGGTGTAGTAGAAAGAATTGCTTTAGCTTGCGGATGGGTGTTGTAGATCTTTATTTCCCTTGGTGTTGTCCCAGGATAGCTGTTTTGGGGCAGAGCTCTTGGCTGGAGTTGTTTTGAGGACTGAAATGCATCACCGGTCTCCTTGCCGTGGGCTTCAGTGGCCAGGTATGCGTTTGCTCTGGCCATTTTGCCTTTGTCAGCGCTTTCTCTCCTGCTAGCTGCAATAACAAGAGACAGATAAAGAGGAGAAAAGTCAGACATCTGAGAACAACAGAGAACACAGTGCTATAACCCGTGCAGGAAAGACACGGCGTGCAGATATGCAGGCAATGTAGTCTTACACAGTTAGTTGTTTCTAAGCATCCAGTGGCCAAATAAAAAAAGGAAACTGGATTAGCTGTGTGATTTTTTTCCTTTTTCTTTTTTTTTTGGGGGGGGGCGGGGCGGGGGGGTTCCAGACAAGGTTTCTCTGTAGCTTTGGGGCCTGTCCTGGAACTAGCTCTTGTGGACCAGGCTGGCCTCGAATTCACAGAGATCCACCTGCCTCTGCCTCCCGAGTGCTGGGATTAAAGGCGTGTGCCACCACCACCCAGCTAGCTGCGTGGTTTCTAACAAGATACTAAAGGAAGAGAAAGCATGTGCTATGGTTTGGATTTATCTCCACAGAGTTCATGTGCTGGACTCTTACTCCCCAAATTAATCTGTCAATGGTGTTTAGCGGTGCAGCCTGTGGGTGGCACTAGGGTTAAATGAGCCCCGTGGTAGCCTCCTGAGCTAGTACCTGCCTCTGTCTTGCCAAGCTCCACTCTCTACCTCGTTACAATCTGGAAGCCTCTTGGCAGACTCTGCCCCCTTGTCGTCATGGACCTGAAGGGGCCATGAGCTAACTAAACCTGTTTTCCCTGTGAATCACTTGGTCTCTGGTATTTTGCTATCACCACAGAGAGAAGATGGAGATGGCGTGTCTGGACTCTCACTTACCACATCTGAAGCTCACTGGCATTTCTTTGGTTGTCCCTAGATCTGCAGAATTGTGACCATCTCGGTGTCCACCAAGCTGCAGCCTTACATCCATACTCTTCCAGGTGAGGGCTGAGGATGGAAGAGGATGGGAGGGGGGCTAGAAGGGAGGCAGAGTGGATGGAGCAGGCCTGAGCCTGGTGGCGAGGGGAAGGATGGGCTGCAGTCCTCCACAGCTAGCATCGGGCCAGTTCCTTGTGCATTCAGAAGTGAAGTGGAAGCCAGCTCCTTCCTCCAGCCAGGCAAAGGGCAAACACCCTGAACCCCAGCACCCCAGTACCCCTGTACCTCAGCACACACACACACACACACACACACACACACACACACACTGGCTCTCTGAGGCCAATGACACACACAACCTGAGATGAGAGACTGCCCACTTCTCTCTAGACCTCAGTTCCCACGCCCTGAAAAGGGAACAATATCTCTATGTACTGCAAATGACAATGAGTCCCAGCTCCTGCTGGCGGGCATCCTCCTGCCCCAGCCTCCTCACTTCACTCCTGGAGAAACTAAGACTCGGAGAGGGACAGAGCCATCTAGAAGAATCCAGATCCCAGTGTGGAGATAAAATTTTATTCTTGGCAATTTCATACATTTATATGATGTGTCTCAATCACACCCACTGGAAGTTGGGGTCTTAAAAACCTCAGATAGAACTGCCCCCTTGTGGACTGCACACTGCTGGCCCATAACGCATGTTCTGGTGAGGACCAAAGAACGGCCTCCCCTCTCTCTCTCTTCCCTGATTTCATGCTGCAGCCCAAGCTAGCCTCAAACTCTCAGTCTCAAACTCCTCCCTCTGTCTCCCATTTGATGGGATTACAAGCATGTTGCCCTCACTGAGCCATTGCTATCTGTGCGAATGCGTGCACGCATGTGTGTATGTGTGTGCACGCGTGCATGTGTGAATGTATGTGTGTGTATACACGTGTACATGAGTCTGGGGACTGAACCCAGAGCCTGACGTTGACACACTGGGTGCTCCAACCCAGTCTCCATTCCCAGACTTCACATCTTTTCTGGGAACCTCAGGGAGTCCTGCAGGGGTCCTGCAGGGGTGATGGAAAGAGACCACAGTTCCCCTTGCAGCCGTGCAGGCTGCTGCCACTGGAGCCAGCTCACAGCCCATCTTCTCTGTGTCTAGTGGTTGCCAGAGTGGATGAAATGGCCGCAATTGACTACAGTTTGCTGACTCTTAGAACCACAGTTGAGTTCCTGGAAGGGCAGCTAAAGGTGAGGTTTCCACAGAGACGGGTACCTGCTCAAATACGTGCCCTGTAACCCTGGAAACTGACCTCTTCCTATTTGCTTTGCCCCACTCCACCCTCCCCTGCATCCCCTGTTCCAGTTATGCTGGCCACCAACATTCCAGAAACTCACTGTGCCTGCCCGGGGGGGGGGGGGGGGGGCAGGGCCTTTGTTCTCACTCTCCCCTCTGCCCAGGGTGCTCAGCAGATATGCACATTGCTCTCCCTGCTTCCTTTCAGTTCTTGGTCAAACTGGGCCTTCCCAGGGAAGTCTTCCTAGGGATGCTTTCCCCAACCACTCATGCTGAAATAGCCCCCAACAATGCCTTTATCTCAGCAGAGCTAATCACACCCCACCACCACCACACACACACACACACACACACACACACACACACACGCACGCACGCGCACGCACGCACACACACGCACACACATACGCACACACACACGCACACACACAATATGTCAAGAGAAGACAGGGACTACATTGTTCACTGCTGGATGTTCAGCACCTGGGAATATGCCTGGTGTAGGCTGGTGTCGGGAAATTTGTTGAATGAGGGTAAAGGTTGGCAAGACAGAGGGAAGGAAAGGAGTGACATTGCCCCAAACCAGTGGTTTTCAACTCTTAATGCTGCGATCCGTTAACACAGTTCCTCATGTTGTGGTGATCCCAACCAGAAAATTATTTCATTGCTACTTCATAGCTGTAAATTTGCTACTATTATGAATCATAATGTAAATATCTGATATGTGTCCCCTATGGGGGTCGCAACTCATGATTGAGAACTACTGGCCTAAATCACACCATGCAGAAATAAGCACACTCAAGACAGATTTAGGGCCTCCAAGACTTCTCTACAGTAATACAACATACACAGAGAGAGCAAGAGGTGGAACAGACACAAGGAGAGACAGAAACAGAGCATACAGAGGCATAGAAACAGATCCACACAGCACAGATGCAAACACACACACACACACACACACACACACACACACACACACACACTTCATGATTTTCTTGTAAGCACTGCTATTCATCACTGAGCCAGAAGAGTACAATGTGGACAGCTCCTAAGACACCCACAAAAATGTCTCCTGTGACCTCCCACTGATGGCCTGTCCTGCAGTGAACAGCCAGAATAAGGTCCCACCCTGGACAGCAGTGCCCCACCTGGGAAAGCTGGACTTTTCTCAGATGTCCCGTGCAGCTAACCAGAGCTACAGTTGGTACCAAACCAGGCCATTTTGTCCAGTGTGTGGCATGCTGGTTACTAAAATGACAAGAGTTATTCATATGATGGGCAAGTGTGAGTAGGGAGCCTGGGTCTCTAATTATCCCCAAGGGCAAGCTTGGGGACATTTATAGGCTGGGACCTGGGGAGAGGTTAACTGGGCAGATGGCGGATAGAAAAACAAAGAACTTGGGGCAGGCAAAGCTGCATGGTGATCTAGGAAAAAAGAGCAGGCAGCTGCATTTTCGGGGATCATCCTGAAAGCTCTCTGTCCACTCAAGACTACTTTCTAGAGGTGCCGGAAAAGACTGAATGCTCAAAATACCCACATACACACAAGCAGTGCACACACCTACACATACACATGCACACACATGCATGCACACACACACTCCACACACAAGCACACATCTGGGTACATACACATGTGCACATGTATGCACACACATACACACAGTGACACACATGCACATACCTATGGCATACATGTACACATACATACACATGTGTATGCGCACACACGTGCACACATATATACATATACACATATGTAAACGCATTCACCTGCTCTTGGCTGGTGACCTGTTTTGCGTGGGGGATGGTGCTGTCCTGCTCGTATTTCTCTCCTAAGGATCCATATTGGAGCTAGTGTCCACTATCTTTAAGAACTGCCTGGTCAGCTGGGTGTGGTGATGCAGGCCTTTAATCCCAGCACTCAAATGGCAGAAGCAGGAGGATCTTTGTGAGTTCGGTCTGGTCTACATAGCAAGTTTCAGGTCAGTCAGGGCTAAAAAGAGACCCTGTCTCAAAAAGAAAGAAGGAAGGGAGGAAGGCAAAAGGAAAAGAAAGAAACTATATGGTCTTCCACTGTGTGGGCAATGTGGACATTAACTTTAAATGACCTGTGATTCAAAGGTTCAGAGAACATGGCTGGGCTAACATGGCTGTGCTGTAACTCAGTGGCACAGGGTCACCTGCATGTATGACGCCAAGGCTTCAGGGAATGTTCCCCACTGCCCTCCTGCCCACACCAGGCACCACACTGAAATGACGTTTGTCCTTTTGTACACATTTAGACTTTCTGTGCTCTTTAAATTTTCTGTAAATTAGCCGGGCGGTGGTGGCGCACGCCTTTAATCCCAGCACTCGGGAGGCAGAGGCAGGTGGATCTCTGTGAGTTTGAGGCCAGCCTGGTCTACAAGAGCTAGTGTCAGGACAGGCTCCAAAGCTACAGAGAAACCCTGTCTCGAAAAACTTAAAAAAAAAATTTTTTTTTCCGTAAGTGGTATTCTACCATATGTGTCTACAAGTGGCTTTCCTGAGCTAGACATTGTTTTTCTTCCTAATAAGCAATCTGTTCCCGTCGCACGTTGTTAGATCACTTCTTAGAGACACAAGGGACAGGTGTCCTCTCAGTAGCATGTGACGCTTACCAAAAATATACACTTCAGCCTTCCTGAGTCTGTTAACGGGACAGAGGACGCAACCTGGAGGCCACTGTTCTTTTGACGGCTGCTAAGCTGACTGGAAAGAGGGAGGGGAATGGTGCAGTGGGAGGAGGCGTTGGGCTGTGTGACCGTCTCATGCCCCCCAGTGCCCTTCGCGGCCGCCAGCAGTTCCCGGTTGTGCCCAGCTGGTTCCCTCCCATCTTGTACCGACTCGAGCTGCTCACCTGCAATCCTAGGACACCCAGACCTGCTCTGTGCTTTCCACCCAGGGGGAGTTTTTCTGGAGGAGACACCACGACCCACTCCCTATTACCCCACCAGCAATGAGCTTCTCCCCCAACAAGAGCTACATGGTACAACTGGGCATCTCCGACTACTTCTTTAACACTGCCGGGTTGGCATATCAAGAGTCTGGAATTTTGCAAATGACCCTGAGGGACCAGATGGTGAGTGTGGCTGACTAGCACGGAAGAGCATGACTCCGTGTCCAGCAGATCTAGGTGGGAGGCTTTGTTCCCAGGGATAGAGCCCCAGGGTCAAGTGTCTCAACCGAGGGACTCTAGGTCACTAACTTATCCCTGTACCTCAGACTCAACTGTAAGTTACCCACACTAGTGTACTCCCCGGAGGCCATTGTGAGTTTTAACTGAAAGAACAGTGCGAGAGGCTGGGAGCCCAGAGCTCAGTGCATTGCAGCCACACCCCACAATATGCTATCTTACACCATTGACTCTTACCATGTGTTCATGGCTGGACTCACTCTGGACCTCAATTTCCCCATCTGTACATGATGAATTAACCCCTCTCTCTACAGCCTGGGAGGTACAACCATCCCAGCCAGGCCACTTACATGCTGGGCCCCTTTTACAGGACTCCTCAAAACCCTCAGGTTCTCCTCTTTGTATAGGAAGACATGCAGAATGGCCACGACTCACTATGGAAGCAAACACAGACCACCCATGGGGGCCAGCCAGGCTGCTTACTCACAGCAAGACTGGGCCCCATGGCTGGTGTACCTCAGAAGTCAAAGGTGGCAGGGGTGGGGGCCTCGTGGGATTGGAGGGGTAGCACGGAGGCAGGCTGGATGAAGTGGGCCATCCTGTGATTGGTGCGACAGCGGCAGTCACTGACCACGCCCACACTTCCTCGCCAATAACTAACCAAGTTGTAGAGCAAGGTGGTACTGGCACAGGGGCGCCAGTGTGCACTGATATGCAGTGTCTCACCCCCGGCCTGGCATGCACCTATTCCTCTCAGCTTTAACCGTCTCCCAATGTCCTTGCCCCTCCTCACCGCAGTTGCCAAAGGATTCCAAATTCCGACTGAATACTGAGTTCTTTGGGACCTTCCTGCCCAAGGTAGGAAAGCCTTGTCTCCTGCTCACTCGCTCTCTAGAGTGCCAGGGACACTCACCCACCCATCAAATCTCTGTTGGGGACAACAGAACAGACTGCCTACCCACCGTCCCCCCACCTGTCCCTTCTGCCTCCCCCACCCCTGAACTTTCCTCCCACACTGCCCTCCTCTCCTCTCTCTGATTCCTTCATGTTCCTCTCTCAGTCTGTGAAGACAGAACTTTCCATTCAGGTGCACATGAACAAGCCACGCGTGTGCCCTGCGATTGTGCCAGCAATGGGTAGATGAGGTTGCGGTAGACGAGGTGGACAGGCAGCTTCCTTCTGTAGGCTGAATGGCTTAAGCCAGAAATTTATTTCTCATGAGTTCTGTGGACTGGAAGGCCAAGGTTGGGGTTCTGGGAGGACAGTAGGCCAGCCACTAGTCCACAGAGAGAGAGAGAGGGATGCGCTGATGTCCCTTCCTCTGAGAAGAGCCCTCAGCTCAGAGCTCTTTCCGCCTGGCTTCTGTAGACAGCCATCTCTAAGCTCTAATGGGAGCTGCAGAACAGGAGCACAAGCTGTCCATTTCCAATAGTGTCTAGGGATTTTGACAAGGAGGTGGCGGCTGAGGAGGTGTGGCGGGTAGAAGTGCCCAGGAGGTTTGTCTTGAACACTGGCCTTGTGGCCATTGCTCTTACCTCACCTGGATGGCCTATAGGGAGGATGCATGGCTTGCATGGATCTCAGATAAAAGGGACCTCTTCTGTCACTTGTACCGGACCGCAGGTGGCCTTGAAGTTCCCCAGCACAGAGGTGCAGTTGCTGATCTCCGTTTCCTCGCCTCCACGCCTGAGCATCCAGCCCTCAGGCCTCTTACTCGACCCTGCCCTGGAGACCCAGGCCTTTGCTGTGCTCCCCAACTCCTCCCTGATCCCTCTTTTCCTGGTTCACATGGTAAGCTGGGTGGGGACCCAGATCCAAGCCTGAGCCTGGGGACACCGCCTCACCTGCACTTCCCACAGACCCTTCTCACCAGCGTCCCCCGTGCACTTGCTTGTTTATGTGTGGATGTCCCTCCCTTGTCCTTTGATTCATTCAGTAATTCATTCCTCCACTGCGCAAAACAGTTCCCAGCTGCCTGCCTTGGGTGATTCAGATTTGCGTGTGTGGTTTTTCATCCACTCATTCACCTATTTGTCCAGTTTTTAATTAAGTCAGTTATTCATTCTTACGTGAAATATGCTGTCCCTTTTCTGGTCCCTATGCCCATCACTTATTCAATTACTCACGGATTCATTTGCTTGACTCTTTGTTCAGCGGGCCCGTCTTCACTTATTCATCCATGCATATCTTGGAGTACTCCTTCATTTGTGAATTTGCTTAATCCTTAATTTGCTCAAATTTTCATTCCACTGCTGATTTGTATCCATTGGTTGGGTCACCCTGTTGGTGGCCCCTGCATGTGTCCAGCATCTCGCCTAGTAGGGGACACTAGAGGCCTGTGGAGCATCTACAGGGATGTTCCCAGCAGGGGGCGCTAGAGATGTGTGGCTGGTCTGCCCAGTTTCAAGCTGTAGCTTACTGGGCAGATGAAATGGGTTCTAATTCAGTTCCCTGAGGCCATAGTAGGCCAGGGAGCTGAGGTGGGGCTTCTCTTCCTGAGTAGTTTTTGAGGGAAGCAGTGAGTGGCTATTGTGATGACAGGCCAGTGGGACTTTCAGCCCTTGCCTCTTCCCAGGCTGACAGAACCCCAAGGCCAAAGCCTTTCTCCCTGCTTCCAGGGCTCTGTGGGTGTGACCCAGAGGTGTGGTCACTCTGCTGGCCCTCCCCTGTTAGGGGTCAGGCCCGTTATCTGGATCACTTGCTTTACAGAACACAACTGCCTCTTTGGAAGTGGACGCTGAAGCAGACAGGCTTGTTGGAGAGATGAAGCTGGAAAAGTAAGCCTGGGGGGAGGAGGAAGTGGGTGTCCATCCATTCCTGGGGGGCAGGAGGAGGTGGGTGTTCATCCATTCCTGGGCCCGCAAGAGAGCAGTGGGGGGGGCAGGAGGAGGTGGGTGTTCATCCATTCCTGGGCCCACAAGAGAGCAGTGGCCTTTCGCAAACTCAACACCCAGTCCTGGCCTTGGTCCACCTGACCAGATGGTGTGCAGTGGGCTCCATACCCATTTGCCACAAGCCACAGGTGGTGACTGGGATACTCAGGAGAACTGGGACCTGCCTGGGCAACACCTAGTAAGACACCGTCCCAAAGCAAAGCTGGAAAGGGCTGAGAATATGACTCGGTGGTAGGGCACTTGCCTGGAACGTATGGGGCCCTGGGTTTTCTCCCCAGCACTGCCAAAGGAAACAAGAAACCAAACTGATGCTCAGAGACAAGCGACTCCCCAGGCTCAGACATAAGTGACCACATGTCCCTGTTTACCCAAATGGCCTGGCTTTAGTGAGTAGGCTGTGGGTTCATCTAACTGAGAAGCCCAAGGCTTTCAGGCTGAGTAGCGCCTGGTGCCCCAGTGATTTCATTCTGTCTCTCGGCTTTGCTGTCCCCTGGGCTGGCTTCATTCCTTGCAGGTTGTCCCCACGGGCGACATCCCATGTGGCAGGAGAGAGACACTCGCTTGCTATTCTAGAAGCCTTGCGACCAGTGCCCACTGGGCAGCACCCCCCCCACACACACACCCCAGCACTGAGCAGGGAGGCGGGCTGTGCTCTGAGCTTAGGGTTTGGTCAGGAACACTAACCATTCTGGAAGCATGTGACTCTCCCCAAGGGAGAGCCTGGGGCATGCTGAGAAAGCACACTGGGTCAGAAGCCTGGGTGGTGTTCATGGGTGGGTTCCCAGCACTCAGGCCCCTGGATGACCTCGTCTCCCCTCCCTGCAGGCTGACGCTAGAACTGAAGCAGTCTGACTTCGGCTCCTTTAAGGTGAGTCCGAGCCCTGCCAAGGAAGCGCCTGGCTCACCTGCACATAGCTTGCTCTGTAGGCAGGCCATCTGAGCCAGAGTCCCTGCCTCTTATAAACCCTGTGGCCTCAGGCCATTCGCTTGCCTTCTCAGAACTCATTCCTTCCTCACCTGGACTTGTGTGCTGGGATTCCACTGAAACAAAACACACACAAAGTGCTGTTCGGTGTGTTTTTTGATGGGACAAATTAATTACTTTACTGAGACCCCATTCCTAGGTATTAGGCGATGAGATCAAGCTGAGTGCATTAATCCCAGTCCTTGAGAAGCAGAGGCAGGCAGATCTCTGTGGGTTCAAGATCAGCCTAGTCTACATAGTAAATTCTAGACCAGCCAGGACTACATAGAGGGACTGTGTCTCAAAGAAAGAGGCAGGCAAGCGAGATCAGAGAAGGCCACCCTGAGGAGGTGATATTTGGCTGTGAGAATGAGCCAGCAGCAGTGGGAATAGCAGGGGCATAAGGCTCTGTGGCAGGACCATCTTGGCATGTATGTGGAATGTAAGGAACTAGGGTGGCTGGTGACCCATGAGGAGAGGATGTAAGAGATGTGGCCAATGAAGCAGGCTAGGGCTGGATCGCCGAGGGCTTTCTAGCTAAGATGGAGGCGAGAAGATAGAGTTCAAGGGCAGTGAGCAGCCTGGGGAGCCTGTCCTTACAGAGAACAAGGAGCTGTGGTCTATGCCACTCTTAGGGTCCTGTGGTCAGACGAGGGGAACAGCCACAGGACACAAGAGTGTGACCACAGGGTATAAAGCCAGGAACAGAGGAAGGAGGGATCTGGAGGAGAGGCTTAGGTGGTACTGATGGTAGAAGATGTAGAGCTAGGAGGGACCGAACTGAGATGCCCACGGGAGCACAGCCTGGGGAGCGATAACGGCTTCTCCAGGAATAAAAGCATACACACTTACAAGCTGTAAGTGTCTCTGCTCCATGCAGGCATCTTGATGGGTCCAGGTTGTCATTTATTTATTTGTTTATTTTTATTGTCATCAAAAGAACACATATGCAGCCTGAGCGCCGGGAACCCGCACTTCTGCAAACCCAAGCGGTGAAACTCATTTGTGTTTCTACCATTCGGCTCCCGATTCAGAACACAGCCTTCCTGGCTTTTCAGGAGGCCTCTTTAATTAAAATTCAGAATTCCCTGGTCCCCAGAACCTCCCTTTCCTGCCTCACACTTTGGTTACATTCCTACAATATCCTGTTTAATGGTTCCCTACTATTGCTTGGTGTCAAATTGTGCCACACCCCCAAGTGAGTGCCCTGCTGTTGCACTTGGTAGTTTTGCTGGTTTATTATTTGTGTTAAATTGTCTTGTGGAAGAATCTTGCTTCTCAGGTTTTGCTTTTACTCCATGTTATTGCCTGCTCCCCGGCCCCCAACAGGAGGGATGTATGAAGTCTGTTACTGCCTAAAAAACACACATTTGAAATAAAGGTCTGCCTTCCTTCCTTCCTTCCTTCCTTCCTTCCTTCCTTCCTTCCTTCCTTCCTTCCTTCCTTCCTTCCCTCCTTCCTCTTTTCCTTCTTCCTTCCCTCTCTCCTTTCCTCCCTCCCTCTCTCCCTTCCTTCCTCCCTTCCTTCCTTTCTCCTCCTTCTTTGCTTTTTGTTCTTTTGAGGCAGGGTTTTACCATTATAACCTTGGCCGGGATCTCACCATGTAGACCAGACTCATAGAGATCACCTTCCACCAGCCTGTGGCTTCTGAGTGCTGGGATTAAAGGCATGTGCCACCATGCCTGGCTTGTTTATTTGTTTTAAGCCAGGGCTCAGGGTCTCAGGAGTCTTGTGTTGATCTCAAACTCATGATGCTCCTGCCCAGCCTCTGAATCACAAGCATGTCCCATGTCTTGCTCATTTGCAAGACTTTTATTGACCGCTGTAGTTTTCATAGTCTTCCTTCCTTCTGTGTCCTTATGGCCTTACCGGCTGCCTGGTTTCCTCATATTGTGTCTGTCCTGTGCCCACTCTGGGTGCTTCTCCAGGTTGGGAGGCTGTGGAGAGCCGGGTGGCAGGGAGATGAGATGTGAAGGAAGGGTGGTTGCCCTGATGACATAGCCCCCCCCCCTCCGAAGGTGGAGCTGCTGCAGGCTGTCGTAAACTACCTCATGCCCACAATAGTGCTGCCCAAGATCAATGGTAAGGAACTCTGAAGAAACCAATGGTAGGGTTACCTGCCTGCAGGTCCTGGTTCCTGGCCTGGGTTAGAGGCCAGAGGATGGGCCCCTCAAGTGACCTTAAATGATATGACCCAAAAGTTCAGAGGACAAAAGGAACCAGCATGCCCTGGGCTCCTCCCCTACTCCCATCCCTTACATCATTCCTGCCTGGGAGGTGGCGGGGGGGGGGGTGCGGTTTGTTGAGTGACTTTTTCAGGGTTGTGTAAAACTAACATCTATCCCAAGCTGGGGTTCACACCAGCAGCCCCGAGACTGACCTAACCAAGTTCACCTTCATGGGCAAGATGGGTCAGGACAAATTCCTTGTGGCTGACCCAGGTTACTCCAGGTTACAAAACTATCCCCTGTGCTTGTATGCATCAGTTCCACCTCAGCTTAAGGGGTGCAGGTGTTGTTCCCCCAGCTACTGCCCATTTGCATCTTCATCTGCAACACAGAGGGGTTCTATGTACAGAAACCCCCAATCCCAGGTCCATGCTCTGCCTATAGAGCCCCCAGTTTCACTCAGGTGTGACACAGAGCAGTGGTGTGTACCGTCAGAAGAGAAGTCACTGGGGAGAGGCCCACTTGTCCTGTATGTGGGCTTGGGGGCCAGGGGAATAGAAGGGGGCAGGGCACAGACACCATGGCAGCCTTCCTTCCCGGCATGCAAACCTGTGTTGGCGCCTGCTTCATGTGCCCCTCTTGTCTCACACCATAGAGAGGCTGCGTAAAGGTTTCCCTCTGCCTTTGCCCGCTGGGGTCCGGCTCAACAACCCCGTGTTTCAGTCCTACCAGGTAAGTCCCCAAGTTCTCCAGTCACCAAGTGGCCCGTGAGAATAGCCACCCACTGCTGTCAAGCCTCCTGTGTGCCACACACTGCACTGAGCCCTTCCTAGGTTCACAACATCCTTAGGACCAGAGAGAGTTGGCACTTAGGAAACCTGGGCTGTTGCTTGTTCTTGTAAACGTGGACTCACCAAGTAGCCACACAATTCCTTTTAGGTGGGTGTGTTTAAGTGCCTAATATCAGATTATTTTAAAAAGCAGCTGGAGATGCCGGGCGGTAGTGGCGCATGCCTTTAGTCCCAGCACTCGGGAGCCAGAGGCAGGCGGATCTCTGTGAGTTCAAGACCAGCCTGGTCTACAAGACCTAGTTCCAGGACAGGCTCCAAAGGTACAGTGAAACCCTGTCTCGGAAAACAAAAAAAAATAAACAAAACGAAACAAAAAGAGAACAAAAAGCAACTGGAGAGAGAGTAAGAGGGTGGAATAAAGAAAGGCTCGATCTTACCTGAGGAGGGATCATGTTCATACATAGATAGGGATGTCTTCGTTACCCACATGTGTGGTTGACCAAAATCCCTGCACCCCTGCAGAAGATGAAATGCGACTTTGTTGTTGTTTTTTGAGACAGGGTTTCTCCATGAAATAGTCTTGGCTGTCCTGGTACTCACTCTGTAGACCAGGCTGGCCTCAAACTCACAACAATCCACCTGCTTCTGCCTCCTGAGTGCTAGAATTAAAGGTGTGTGCTACCACTGCCCTGCTATGGGATGCAGCCTCTTGTAAGGGTGGAAATGACTTCTGTAGTTCACAAGGGAAGCTGGGAAGTGTAGTCTTTCACAGGAAACTATCACCTAGAGCATGGGGTATAGCACTGATGCACCAGCCTCACCTTGGTACGTTTACATAAAGAATTCTATCCACGCCTGTCTTGCAGGAAAGTGACACCCCGGTGTTTGTACACCTTCCTCTGAGTTTCCAGGCTCCCGGGCTCCTGGGAACTTTCCCTCAACCGTCTCAGTCTCCCCTTCTCATTCTGTCTGCTCTTTGCATACCAGCAATCCAGGCCTTCCTCCCCAGGCATCTTCTCCCCAGGTCATTGGCATTCATGGTCGATCTCAGCAACTCACCAAGCTCAGCATCCACCCCTGCAGCACCCAGCTTTCCTCTGTGCTGCACATGTCGGCCACCTCCCTTCTGCAGTGTCTGTACCTCTTCATCCCTAAACATCCCGATAAACCCATAACCCCACAGGGAAGCCCTCACCTGGCCCCAAGTTCCTGCCTCTGTTGACAGCTTGCTTTTCTGACACATGGCCCCTCTGAGAAAGTCCTATGTCACCAAGTTCCTCTCTCTAATGCATGGTGGCAGTCAATCCTCGTTCTTTAGACCAAGGAGCAGCTGGAGATGAGACTGGAAAACAGGCAACAGAGCAGAGGAATCTGTCCCCCCACCAGCATCTCTGTTCCTGAATTTTATCAAGGTCATCGTAAAAAAAGAAAAAAAAAGCCCCTGGCAAAATTTAATTGCTTCACTTAGAAGCAGAGGGAAGGAGACTCGGGGCAGAGAGTAATTTTTCAGTCTTGATTGGAACCAGGTCTTTTGAGCTGCTGCAAGGCAGGGGTGACACACAGAGGCCCCCAAGGTGGCCGAGAGAACACCCACAAGGGAAGCTGCTGGCAGAATCTCCAGCTGTCACTGCAGTCACACAGGCCCAACTGCTGACACCCTTGCCCTTCTCAAGCAGACTGGCCTCAGCCCGCCCCCATCTTAGCCAGGCCCCCAAGTTTGCTTTTCTTAAACGTATGCATGTGTATGCTTAAATGTGTGTATGTGTGTATGGCTGCGTTTGAATGTGTATGGATGCACGTGTGTGTGCATGTGAGCATGTATGTGTGCGCACATGTATGTGGAGGTCAGAGGTGGCAAGTGCCATCCATCACTCTCTACCTTGTGTCTTGAGACAGAGCTTCCCAGCCAGGCCACCCTTCTTAAAATCCCAACCCAGCATCCAGGGTGCAGTTCAGCTAACGGTGTCTGTCTCTCCCTAGAATTTCCTGGTGCTTGGAGCAGATGTCCACTGGACCTGAGAGATCACCACAGGCCCTGGGCCTGGGAGCCCTGCATCTGCTCCCAAGGGGGCCACTGCACTCACAAGACATCCTGCTCTAGGAATCCTTTAGTCTCTGGCCCTGTCCCCCAGTCCCTTGATCTCTTCCCCAAGCTCAGCTATAGTAATCACCCAAGCCAGTGGAAGTTGAGCACAGGAAAAGAGGGAGGTTTGTATGCCAGGGCGGGCTCCATGCCTCTTTCAGTGCGGCCCCTCCAGCACTGGCCTTTCTGCTGGAACTGTGACATTACTTTGGACTTTGCAAAAGCACCTGTCTTTTTCCTGCACATCCTGTGTGTTGGTGTGACTTTTTGTCCATTCATTGATGGGCTCATTGGCTGTCGCCAGAATGGCCTGCACGTGTACTCTTGCATCCCTTACACCTGCGTTAGCACAAAGTCCCGCCAGTATCCTTGGGGCTTTCTTAAATGAAGGGATGAGCAGTTTTGAGAGGGGGCTTGTCTACTGGGCTGTTGTTCCTGTCATTACCACCTGGTGTCGCTGTTTGGCTGGCGCTCCTGTACAGCCTGTTGACTTCCTGTGGCCAGTATTGAGAATGCTGTTTCTCACTACCCCATGGTGGCTGTTGAACACGTGACCCAAAAAGCAGGAGGGCTGAGCTAAGGCTCTCCAGTCACTAGCGTGGGAGTCATCAGTCCCAGGCTGTCCAGGACTAGCGTTGGATCTTACTGGGGGCTTTGGGACATTTCCTTTTTTGAGACATCTAATGTTGTAACATCTCAGGACTGCCCAAGCCTGTTAGATGTGTATACAGATTAAATGGCCCCAAGGCCTCTGTGGGCTGGGGGCCTTTGGTCTGAGATCAAAATGATAAACAAGAACACATCTAAAGGTTGAAGCCGGTGGTGGGGTCCGGGTGCAAGATCAGTTTAGTTTTTCAAATGGTATTTTAGTGACATCAGAGAGCTATGGAGAAGCAAAAGGGGAACAGAGTGACTGGAAAGAGGGGGGGTCTCTGGAATTCAGACTTCAGTCCGGCTGCTGCTGACAGCAAAGATGGAGCAAAGCAGGTGAGTGGTCCTCCTAAAGAAGGGTGCACACACCTGCGGACATCTTGGCTCTGTTATGTGGAGGTCGAGGTTCCACGCCCACTAAACACAGGGCTAGCCCAGCCCAGGAGGGCCTCATTCATCCTTCTATCCCCTCCTTCTGGGACTCACTCATGTCTTTCTGATTGGGTCCCTGCCAATCACAAGTCCCACTTGTAGCAAAACTGGGGTTCCTACACTCCTGCCCTGCTCAGAGTCCACGTATCTTCTGTTCCTTCCAGATGTCAAAACTGTCTGGGGGGCTTGGCACACAGAAGGTAGGCGTTCTGTGTTCGGTTGCCTAGGTCACACACTGTAAAAAGGACCCAAGCCTCAGGAAACAAAAATTCTTCCTCTGATTTGCCCACCAGGAAGGTACACCGGCTT